GTCAATATTACGTCACTTTGACGTCAAAATTACGTCAAATATCGCTATTTTAAACACGTCAACGTGACGAAATGGTCCTGACGTCAGTATACTTTAACTTGACGTGTTTCAGACGAATCTCTGTTACTTGGGAATGTACCATGTCTTCTCTATTTTCTAGGCATCCGCAACTGAACCGGTATCTGTTCAAGCTGAAGTGACACTTGCAACAAATTATTTTGCTCTTGTTGATTTTTGCAATGAAATTTTCCCATTGTTACGACCACATGCAAGAGTTGTTAATATTTCAAGCTCATGTGGACATTTGCTTCGAATTCCTGGGGAAGAAATACGCAAACAATTCTTGAATCCAAACCTCTCTGTGGATGAGTTGTCAGAGCTAATGCAAAATTATGTCACGTAAGTAGTACACATTTTCCAGTTATCATTATTTCTCTTTTGTTCCTCTTTTTTATTATTTTTTTTAAAATTTATTATTTGTAGTGCTGCTAAAAATGGAAATCAAGAAGCCTTGGGCTGGGGCTCTGGTTCTTACAATGTTTCAAAAGTAGGTGTAAGCAAACTTTCTTTCATTCAACAAGCCATGTTTGATAAGAATGGACCAGAAGATGTTATTGTAAATGCAGTGCACCCTGGATACGTTGATACAGATATGACAAGTCACAAAGGGCCATTGACAATTGAGGAAGGTAATCACATTTTGTCATCATCCCTGTTTTTTAATACTTCTTGTCACCTAAAATCACAACATGAATCTGAATTTCTACTTCCAGGTGCTGCTGCCGCTATCTACTTGTCTTTACTTCCTCAGAATATTGCACAACCACGTGGTGCCTACATTTGGCATGACAAAAGAGTTGTGGACTGGACAAAACCTCCTCCTGCGGTTGTTTAGCACGTTCAATTCCTTTTCCCAACAAATGCTTTTGTGCAATTTAAAAAAATAAAGCTCATCTTAAATAGAAAATTATGGTGTTAGAAAAACAATTTGTTACCTAGATTACCACATATTTAATGAAATCCATGTTCTCAGCCAGTCTAAATTAATTCTCTGTTTTGCACTGTTAGACAAAAAGGCCTGCCCAATCACATAGTGTGCAGATCCGTTTGTGACGACACTGTTGTAGCAGCAAAACACACAATGGAACCGACCAACAACATAATCCTTGGCTGCAACTGTTCTTCAGACACTGCTGATCTCAATCTAAGTGGTATTTCGGGTCAAGGGTTTGGCTGAGAGTGGCCTAGCCAGGGGTGCAACTAAATGCCGATGAGTCGGATCAAAACCCTGAGGAACAATGGGCCAAATATATCAGTTGTGGTGTGGGTGGCTACTTGATTATTTAATGAATATGCAGGGTCAACTTGACCATCAGTTTGAAAAGGAAATTACCACAAATATGGCCTAGTCAAAATAAAACACAAAATAAAATTAATATTTATCATACTTGGTATCTCTTTAAAATAGTACAACTAAGTCAAGTAGAAAATAAAACAAAAGGAAACACAATCACATTAGGACCTTCACAAAGTCTTTGTCTTACAAGAGAATGATTCATTAGAATTTTTACAACATATTTTAACAACCCCAAGATCAAGATTTAGGACAATTTATAAGAATTCTTTACTGTAGTAACAGTAAAATAGTTTTGGCCATTTAAATTTCATTAATACATACCTAGCGTGATTTAGACTCATTCAAACTGAAATCATCTTAAATATATACCAATGACGGTATGACAATTGTTTAAATTCAGAATTGAGTTTACTAGGTGAGAGATCTACCGTGCACTGCATTACAAACACACCAGTTTCATTAGGATTTGTTAACAAAAATTGACAGTCTTTGAATTTAAAGAGAAAGGCGAAACAAAGTATCACAGCCGTCAAGGAACGAGCAAAACAAAATAAAAAGTCTAGTAATTTCTTTTCTTTTACAACAGTAAATCAGATTGAAGCCTGATCCTCAATAATTGGTTGATCAATTCATTAAATACAGCAAAAATTATGATGTACATAAATCAATACATTACCCGCTGACCCTTACTACACTGCCTATTAAATGAGTTTGATTACATCCCTTGCTGAAGTCGAATTTCTGTGAGGCACTGACATACCTGCTATTGAACTGACAGCAGCGTTTACCGTAAATCTCTTGCTATCTGTAAAATTGGGAAAGACAAATACCACAGCTAACTTGACCAAAAGACCACAATTGCTACCTAAATTATGACATTTTAAAGAAATGTACAAAATAATAATTCAGAGGTACATAGTAAATTGGGGATCACAATAATAAAAACAAAACATGCAATTAAGTGTCAATTCAAAATGGCATTCTTTTAAATAGAAGGTAAAATGATACCACATAAAATGCGGTTAAAACTTATAACAAGAAAGAAATTGTACATTTTGATTGTTCATGAACTTGCAGACTGATAATGAAAGGCCAATGACTTCCTTAGTGATGAATATGCATAAAAGCATCACAGAGACAAAAAACAAAAAGAAAACAAAAACAAACAGAAATCACTAACCAAAATTAAAGATTTATACATGTGGTACATTTTTACAAAGTTCAAATCATATCCAATCATAAAAGTATATAAACCACAACAGATACATTATACGCATAAAACAGGACTCATTTAAAGCCAATAAAGCTGTATTTTTTAAAAGTCATAATGCATTTAAATCAATCAGTCATGATAAAGAGTTTGATGTATCATAATAATGATATCATTGTATAAGGAAAATAAACAGAATAACCAACAAATTTTCATGCCGGAAAATAAGCTTCACTGGTAACTTCTATTTAAAATAAACACATAAGGAATGTCTACTACAAATAAAACCACAGCCTTGGCTTCATAAACTTACAATAATGTTCACTTCTTCAACATTCATTTCATGACATTTGTAATACCTTCATCATTATTGCCACGGACGAACAGGCGGGCGAGCTAATAAATAAGGGGGCACACCTCCTTGGATGTTATATCCAGTTGGCATTGGTTGTACAAGTTGAGGAGCCATTTGTGGGGGTACGAGTCTAGGAGGGGGTCCATACATGCCTGGTGGCATAGCAGGGAACCCGGGTGGTTTCATACTGCCAACCACAACATGATTCTGGAGGTTCATGGACCTATTTTGAGGAATATTAGGTTTGCCTGCATTTTGGTACATGCCTCCAACTGGAACATTCGGGTTCATCATTGGCATATTGGAAATTCTACCAGGATCACGGTTTCTATTGTGGTTGTCCCTAGCTGGATCTCGCCTATTGCCACCTCTGTTGAAATTTTCAAACGTATGATTTTGACGTTGATTAATTCCCCGCTGGCCACGGTTATCACGGTTTTCACGGTTGTCGCGTCCATCACGTCCATTAGGTCGTTGTTGTCCCCTCTGATACATCATGAGACGTTTAGGGCAATCATTTTGAACATGACCAATAGAACGACAGAAGTGACAACCACGATCACTAGGTGGTTTCCCAACAGAGAGAGCATTTTCATTGAAGTAGTATTTCTGAAAGAAAAAAATATTAATAAGATTTGATACAATATGTTTTACAACAAGATAGAAGACATCTTAGAGACATATTTACCTCTAGTGGCATCCCATCTCGTTTTGGGAAGGATGAGAAGTGCTTAATGGCTTTTTGGAAAGTCTTGACAATAAAAATGTTCACTGAAACAAAGTTAGAAAAGTTTAGGAGGTAAAGATTTAAACTTAAAAAGCTTACAAAGTAGTTTGCATTTGTATTGGAACTACTAACTTCTTTTAGACAACCCTGAGCCTAAGTTATGATTTAAATCAAATGGGTCTTCAATGCAGATATTGGTTGAAGTCCAAAGCTTGTCAAACTTGTAAAGTGGATCTTTTTTCCTTATACAAACAACTCGTTGAGAGCTGTGAAAATCTTTTGATGAATAGAATTCCAACAATTGGAGCCACAACTCTCCAAGTGAAGATTTATTTTCATTTCGATGAGGCCACACATCATCCTGTAACAATTTTAAAAAAATCCTGTAAATGGCTTTACAAAAAATAATCAAATATAAAAGATTAGATCAAGATAAATCTTACAAGCTTGTCTTGATTTCTGTAGAAATAAACATTTGCACCATCAACTGTTTCTACTTTTACACCAACATCAGGATCAGATAGCTGAAAGAAAAAGTCAACATTAAATAAAATATTAAATGCAAGTGATGCTTTAATTTATGATAGATATAAATTTTGAGTCCTTGTGACTGCTGAGAGAGTAAAATTCAAAACTGGTCAGATTTACACACCTCTTGGAGAACAGGAATAACAGGGGGTGATACTTGCTGGAGAAAGTATAGGGACATCAGAGAATAAGCATACGATGATAGACTGCCACGTGAAGCATCTCCAATGCCTGTAGTTTTGGCAAGGTTTTTCGTCATATAAACCAAGGGCTTCAGGTGAAAATGAGAGGAAAAGATGTATGTACTTTTTTAGATCAATCACAATCAGATTTTAAAAAATTAAGAAAGATGCAATACACTTTTAAGAAACATACCCGCACTCTTGGATCAATGATAGAGTATGCATGAAGTAATTGTGTGTTCATAATACCTAGTCTATTATACAGACTAATATCCACCTGAATACGATTTCTGCCATAAGCAAATTTTACAATAGGCACTTTTGCTGTAGTTATTGCAACTAGTTGATAAACACTTTTGTGCCCTTTCAATGCATGTTGAATTTCCTCCACTAATGCAGGAAAGTTAAGGCCCTGAAAAATTATCCAGTTAGAAAAGGCCATGTGCCACATTGATAAATTGATGATTTACAGGATAGATAGAAAATAAAGTACAATACCTCCCCAGTTCCATTGGACTGAAAAGTCAGACACATATCAATATCTGATGATTTGCCTCCAAAACCATTTAAAGATGAACCAAATAGGTGAAGATCTATGTCACGGTAAAATTGCCTCAACCACATAAGCAGATCATCTCGTATTTCTGCACGATCGCGCAATCCACTGTCTTCAGCACACCGGGTTTCTATGTTATGGCAATAAAAAACAAAATAACAGAATGTTGGGGTGGTTTTTCAGTGAGCTATTAAGGTCACAAGGTCACTTAAATTTATGAACTCACTGAAAATTTCAAGACACAGGTGGTCTAAGTGGGCAACCAAATCCTTAGAAGGGGGAGACATTGGGCTCATGTCTGGAATTATTTCTTCAGGACACTTTTCCCTGAGATGACCACTTCGGTGGCAAGAAGTACATACTACAGGTGGTAGCTAAAAGCAGGTATTATTGCCATTACAATAAGCAAGATCTTTAATGATTGTATTTTAAAGAAGATGCAAAAGAAAACATACCTCATTGTCAACACACATCTCCTTAGTGAGGGTTAACCTCTGTGCACTGGGCAAGAAATGTGCAGAAAGAGTATTTGCCTGGTAAGGAGTGACCCACCAATGCAAGTATGCATTTTTAGATGGTGCAGATGGTACCAAGCTGTCTGGAGCACTTGGAACAACTCGCAAGTTGAAGTATAACTCTTGATAGACTCTAGAATTATTTAACTCTTCCCTTACTTTCAGCACATTTTCTTCATTATCATTCCGTAAATCAGCCACTTCATAAGAATTATCAAGCTGATAGAGATAATTAATTAACTTAGATTAGATCAGACACAAATTTTACACAAGCAAGAATTAGGTAAGAAGTATACCAACCCGCAAAATAAGTTCATATATTTTATCAGACACTGAAAGATATTCTTTGAGAATGGAAGGAGTTTGCTCAAATGAGGAGGGTTCTGGTCGTGGGCCTATGTACCCAAACAAAGGCCCTGCTTCACTTTGGGGAATGCCAAGAGAACATGTAGTAGTAACAAGGCAAAAGTGCACATAGTCGTACATATTAGCTGATATGTATCTAGATATGTTGTGCTTAGGCTGAAAAGGATCTAG